AATACAAGTGTATGGCTTTAACAAAGAGAAATTTATTTTCTCACAGTAAAGTAGGCTAGAAGTCCAAATTCAGGGCATCAGCTCCAGGGAAAGGCTTTCTCTCTCTGTCAGCTCTGGAGGAAGGTCCTCATCGTCATCAGTCTTCCCTCAGACTAGGAGCTTCTCTGCGCAGGAACCCCGGGTCCAAAGGACGAACTCTGCTCCCGGTGCTTCTTTCTTGGTGATATGAGGTCCCCAGTACTCTGCTTGCTTTGCTTTCCTTTTATCTCTTGTAAGATAAAATGTGGTATAGGCCACACCCTATGGAAACTCCCTTTACATCGGATCAGGGATGTGACCTTAGTAAGGGTGTTATACAATCCCACCCTAATCCTCTTTAACATAAAATTAAAATCACAAAATGGAGGACAACCACACAATACTGGGAATCATGGCCGAGCCAAATTGATACACACATTTTTTGAGGGACATAATTCAATCCATGACAGACAGAATAGAACTGCCCCTTAAGGTTTCCAAGGAGCAGCTGGTGGATTTGAACTGCCAACATTTTCTTTAGCAGCCATAGCTCTTAACCACTCTGCCACCAGGGGTCCATTAGCCATTAGAGAAATGCAAATCAAAACTACAATGATACACCAACGTACCCCAACAATACTGGTACAAATCAGAAAAAAAAAAAAAAAAAAACACAAATATTGGAGAGGTTGTGGGGAGATTGGAACTCTTATGCACTGCTGGTGGGAATGTAAAATGGTACAACCACTTTGGAAAAGCTAGACATAGAAATACCATATGATCCAGCAATCCCACTCCTAGGAATGTACCCTAGAGAAATAAGAGCTGTCACATGAATAGACATACGCACACTCATGTTCATTGCAGCACTATTCACAATAGCAAAAAGATGGAAACAACCTAAATGCCCATTAACAGATGAATGGATAAACAAATTATGGTACATACACGCAATGGAGCACTACACAAAGATAAAGAACAATGATGAATCTGTGAAACATCTCACAACATGGATGTATCTGGAGGGCATTATGCTGAGTGAAATAAGTCAGTCATGAAAGGACAAATATTGTATGAGACTACAGTTATAAGAACTCAAGAAAAAGTTTACACACAGAAAAAAACAAAAAACATTCTTTGATGTTTTCAAGGGTGAGGGGAGGGAGGGGGTGGGGAAATCACTAAGTAGATAGAAGACAAATGTCAACTTCGGTGAAGGGAAGGACAATACACAATATAGGGGAAGTCAGCATAAATGGACCAAAGTGAATGCATAGAAGTGTCCTAGACACATCCTAACACTTTGAGGGACTGAGTAGTTGGGACTGGGGGCTGAGGATCATAGTCTTGGGGGACATCTAAGTCAACTGGCATAATATAGTTTATAAAGAAAACTTTGGTGAGTAGCATCTGGATTCTTAAAAGTTGCAAGTGGCCATCTAAGATACATCTGTTGGTCCCATTCTGTCCAAAGCAAAGGAGAATGAAGAAAACCAAAGACACAAGGAAAATATTAGCCCAAAGGACTAAAGGACCACTTAACCAGAGACTCCACCAGCCTGAGACCAAAAAACTAGATGGTGTCCAGCTATGTGAAAACAGTATGGGGGCAGTGTCTGACCTCCTCTAATTTCACAAGGGGGAAAGAGAATCAAGATCAACAGGCCAAGGCTGATTCCTATGAGACAGAAGTCAGATATGCCTCCTCCCTCTGCCATCTTACCAACTCTGACACCAATCGTCCCTCCCACAGCACTCTGTACTTTGCTAGTTTTGGTAATTCATTGCAATGCCTACATAGAACTCACAGACCATACTCATGATTATGGGGTTTCTTAGGGAAGTAGCAGGTTACAATTCAGGCTCAGGAACACTCAGGATACAGTTGTCCCATGAGGATGGCCTATTTCCAACTGTTCACAGGGAAGCCTCTCCCTGTCCCTAGGCCTTTCCCCAAAGGCACTCAGCTTTCTCTCTCGTAGGCTGGGAAGCCCACCTCGTTGTCTCCCTGCTGCCAGGTCTCTGTTGCCAGGTCTCACCTGCCACTGCTTCTCACCTTCTTCAGGGTTACAGCTTTCTGTCTCTCTCTCTCTCCTGCTTCTGGGAGCTTCTCAGTGCAGGTATCCTGCATCTGAAGGACGCACTCTCCTCTCCTGGCTGTTCTTCCTTGGTGGTAGTAGGATCCTCCTCTGCATTCTGGAATTGGCTCTCTTTTAAGGCAAAACTGACCAAACCCCTTGATGGACCACAATTACCCTATCACACAAGTCCAGCCCCATCACCTGGGTGGGAGTTACAAGACCATGGCTAGAAAGGCCACACAAAAGTAATCAATCACACTGCAGACTACCACCACCAACCGCTCTGACAGGGATCACAACAGAGAGTCTTGGACAGAGCAGGAGAAAAATGTAGAACAAAATTCAAATTCACAAAAAAAGACCAGACTTACTGATCCGACAGAGACTGGAGGAACCCCCAAGACTATTTCCCCCAAACACTCTGCTAACTCAGAAATGAAACCATTTTCGAAGCCTACTTTTCAGATGAAGATTAGACAGGCCTATAAAACAAACAAATGAAGATTTCAAAGGGTGGCTGGAGAAGACAAAGTAAAATATTATAAGGACGTGTGCAAAGAACTGTAGATAGAACACCAAAAGGGAAGAACACGCTCAGCATTTCTCAAGCTGAAAGAACTGAAGAAAAATTTCAAGCCTCGAGTTGCAATCGTGAAGGATTCTATGGGGAAAATATTAAATGACACAGGAAGCATCAAAAGAAGATGGAAGGAATACACAGAGTCATCATACCAAAAAAAATTGGTCAACATCCAACCATTTCAAGAGGTAGCATATGATCAGGAACCGATGGTACGGAAGGAAGAAGTCCAAGCTGCAATGAAGGCATTGGTGAAAAACAAGGCTCCAGGAATTGACAGAATACAACTTGAGATGTTTCAACAAACAGATGCAGTGCTGGAAGTGCTCACTTGTCTATGCGAAGAAATTTGGAAGACAGCTACCTGTCCAACTGACTGGAAGAGATCCATATTGATGCCTATTCCCAAGAAAGGTGATCCAACCAAATGTGGAAATTATCAAACAATATCATTAATATCACATGCAAGTAAAATTTTGTTGAAGATCATTCAAAAGTGGCTGCAGCAGTATATGGATGAGGAACTGCCAGAAATTCAGGCTGGATTCAGAAGAGGACTTGGAACCAGGGGTATCATTGCTGATGTCAGATGGATCCTGGCTGAAAGTAGAGAATACTAGAAAGATGTTTACCTGTGTTTTATTGACTATGCAAAGGCATTCGACTGTATGGATCATAACAAATTATGGATAGCGTTGCAAAGAATGGGAATTCCAGAACACTTAATTGTGCTCATGAGGAACCTGTACATAGATCAAGAGGCAGTTGTTTGGACAAAACAAGGGGATACTGCGTGGTTTAAAGTCAGGAAAGGTGTGCGTCAGGGTTGTATCCTTTCACCTATTCAATCTGAATGCTGAGCAAATAATCCGAGAAGCTGGACTATGTGAAGAAGAACATGGCATCAGGATTGGCGGAAGACTCATTAACAACCTGCGTTATGCAGATGACACAACCTTGAGGACTTGAAGCACTTACTGATGAAGGTCAAAGACCACAGCCTTCAGTATGGATTACCCCTCAACGTAAAGAAAACAAAAATCCTAACAACTGGACCAGTAAGCAACATCATAAGAAACAGAGAAAAGATTGAAGTTGTCAAGGATTGCATTTTACTTGGATCCACAATCAACACCCATGGAAGCAGCAGTCAAGAAATGAAAGACGCATTGCATTGGGCAGATCTGCTGCAAAAGACCTTAAAGTGTTGAAGAGCAAAGATGTCACCTTGAAGACTAAGGTGTGCCTGACCCAAGCCATGGTATTTTCAGTCGCCTCATATGCATGCGAAAGCTGAACAGTGAATAAGGAAGACCGAAGAGTTGATGCCTTTGAATTGCGGTGTTGGCAAAGAATACTGAATATGCTACGGCTGCCAAAAGAATGAACAAATCTGTCTTGGAAGAAGTACAACCAGAATGCTCTTTAGAAACAAGGATGGGGAGACTACGTCTTACATATTTTGGACATGTTGTCAGGAGGGATCAGTCCCTGGAGAAGGACGTCACGCTTGGTAAAGTACAGGGTCAGTGGAAAAGAGAAAGACCCTCAACGAGATGGACTGGCACAGTGGCTGCAACAATGGGCTCAAGCATAACAACAATTGTGAGCATGGCGCAGGACTGGGCAGTGTTTTGTTCTGTGGTACACAGGGTCGCTATGAGTCGGAACTGACTCGATGACACCTAACAACAACAACAACATAAACAATAGCACACGTGAGGAACATGCTTCTTAGTTCAATCAAATATATGAGAACAAATGGGCAACTCCTGTCCAAAAGCAAGCCAAGAAGGCAGGAAGGGACATGAACTGGGTGAATGGACACAGGGAACCAGGGGTGGAAAGGGATAACGTGCTGTCACATTGTGGGGACTGCAACCAATGTTACAAAACAGTATGTGTATAAATTTTTGAATGAGAAATTAACTTGAGCTGTAAACTTCCACCTAAAGCACAATTAAAAAAAAAAAAAAAGAATTTTGGCTCAGGGCTGGGTGGGCAGCACTCCTGGGCGATGCTTCTAACCATGCATTCTGTTCCCGCCCTGAGTTCCTGGGGGAATTAAACTTTCTCAAAACTTCTCAGTGTTTACCATGCTTCTGTCTCTAATGTTTATTTACACTAGCTCCAAGAATGAATTATAACTCATGAATTTAAAGAAGAGAACGCAAATGCGTTATGCATCAGATCATTAAATCTGATGCTTTTGTTACATGGCACAGCAGGAAACAAACATTTCAAAGTGACTGGGCTAAAGAATGTGTGTTTGAATTTTACTGTTCTTAAGATAAATCTACCATTAAATTTTTTTTTTTCAGCTTTGAAAGAATTACTGCTCGAGGACAACTTGCTCACCCGTCTTCCAGAGAATTTGGATACTCTAGTGAATATAAGTGCCCTGACGCTGATGGAAAACCCCATGGTAGAACCCCCAACAGAAGTGTGCGCTGAAGGCATTGAGGCTATACGGAGATACCTTAAGGAAAAGAGAAATATGAAAATAATGGCAACAAAGGTAAGATCAGCAAAATTCTTAATAATACATTCACACTTGGTTTGGAAGGGGGATTAATATCAAACACATTACAGTTTTTCTATGGAGCTTCTCTTTACGTATCTACTCCTTGGCCTTCTTAAGAATAAAAAAAAACAAACTTGTTGCCATGCAGTTGATTCTGACTCATGGTGACCCCATCTGTGTCAGAGTAGAACTATGCTCCATAGAGTTTTCAACGGCTCATTTTTTGTAAGTACACCACCAGGCCTTTCCTCTGAGGCACCTCTGGATGGACTCGAACCTCCAACCTTTCAGTTAGCAGCAGAGTGTGTTAACTGTTTGCACCACCGAGCGACTCCTCTTTAGAGTAGAGACTCTTATTTACCTTATGTCCTCAGGGCTAAGTGACTTTTTTGAACATCAGTATTTTTCTCTTCTATGTCCCTCAACTCTTTGTCAGATAAGAAGCCAACAAACAGGCAAAAGAAACCAAAACTTCAAATCCCCAAACAATCTAAAATTCTCGGTTTATTTATTGGAATGAAAAAGATACACACACAAACACACATACACACACAGTAGGATAAAGCTGAAAATTTAGAAATGAAAGCACTTATGGTTCAGAGATCTAGAGACCAGAGTTCTGCTCTGCTACTAACTAGGATCCAAGGGCTAGGAGCCTTGTAGCACGGTTTCCTCAATGACAAAACGCAGGTGATAGAGTGCCCTTTCCTCCTCATCCGTTGAGCCCATAGAAACATAAGGATACTCCAGACAGGCCAGTAGTATGTCCACTTCAGTCAATGTTCTTTATTCTTCAACTGGTCCAAGCCCCCATCATCTCTCACTCAGGTGACTACACTAGTCCCCTAACTAGTCTCCCTACCTCCATGCCTTTTCCTTCTACAATGTACCTTCTACTCAGCAGTCAGACCAATGCTGTTAAAACATAGGTCAAATCTTGCCACTCTTCTGTTGAAATCTACCATTCTCCATTTTACCTGGAACAAAAGCCAAACTCTTTGGTGTTCAAGGCCCTCCATCAATGGCACTTAATGCTATCAGAACTAACATCCCCCTTTTATAATAAATATTTTGTGATACCTCCTTCACTCCTCTGAAATTAAATTCACACATTGTCTTAGTCATCTAGTGCTGCTATAACAGAAATACCACAAGTGGATGGCTTTTAACAAAGAGGAATTTATTCTCTCACAGTCTAGTAGGCTACAAGTCCAAATTCAGGGTGTCATCTGCAGGGGAAGGCTTTCTCTCTCTGTCAGCTCTGGAGGAAGGTCCTTGTCATCAGTCTTCCCCTGGTCGAAGAGCTTCTCAGGCGCAGGGACCCTGGGTCCAAAGGGCACGCTCTGCTCCCGGCACTGCTTTCTTGGCGGTATGACATCCCTCTGTCTCTCTGCTCACTTCTCTCTTTTATATCTTACAAGAGATTGACTTAAGACACTCTCTAATCTTGTAGATCTCATCCATATAACTGCCACTAATCCATCTCGTTAACATAGTGATAGGATTTACAACACATAGGAAAATCACACCAGATGACAAAATGGTGGACAATCACACAATACTGGGAATCATGGCCTAGCCAAATTGATGCACATATTTTTGGAGGATAAAATTCAATCCACTGCACACATCATATAACCTACTAAAACACATAATTTTAATAAATCAAAAATAATACCTGAGCTGCATCATAAAGAAGGAATAAAAGGAAAGTAGTTTATGTTAAAATATTCATCTAATTATGTATATACTCAGGAAGTACTACTCTGGAAAAGTCAAAATCACACTTTTTGATTGTGTTCTTCCTAAAAGTATTTTGAAAAACCACAGACCCCCTTGCACATCTTAAAATTGATATTTCAATTTTTTTGCCACTCAGTTTAACTCATTATAAGATATATAATTTCCAGTGAATTATAAATATTGACATTTTAAAATAGAGCTGATAGATTAGTATTTTAAATGTATCCAATGAAATCTAAAATTATGATTTGATATACAGCAGTCAAGATTAATTTTCAAAATACTTGAGTAAATTCTTACTTTACAGAAATTTTGTATTATTCCTTTTTCTTCTTGAACATGTATTTCCATTCTACTTTCCCCTCAGAATTTATCTTAATGTTACGTATTTTATTTTTAAGTCTTTTATAGATCATTCTTTCATACTTCTAGACAATAAAAATAATTATATAAATTAAGTTTTAAAATAAAAAAAAATTTTCTGTGATCATCAGGCTTTTTTTATGTTCCAAGTTGAGTTATATTATAAATATGATACTATAAAATTGATCAAAAACATAAAATTTATTATAATCTTTGATAATTATTAGCCATAAATTTTTTGTGAGATGCATATCTTAATAAGAGACTTTTTTCACCTAGTTTATTTATTTATGCACAAATATTTACTAGAAGGAGACAGGGTTTAGCCTCAGTTCTAGTCCTAGTTTTTTTTGTTTTACATATGAAGGCACTGAGAAACCTTGTTCAAATCGATGAATTGACCAGAATAGGAAAAGCTTCTTTTGGTCTGTTTTGTTTTAAATAGTAATGCTTCTTACCTCTGAACTTCTTTCAGGTTTATATACTAAAAATCACATAGCAGTTTCTTAGCTAACAAATCAACTGGTCTTCCTTCAGTTTTCTTTAAGGCAAAGAATTGGAAACTACCTATCTTGAAAAAGGATTGGTTACCTAGACCTTAGAGTCATTTACTTTCTCAACATAAATACTAGCATTTTGAATTTTCCTTCTTTTTGGTGCCCCTGGTGTTTTTATAGTGCAGGGCAACACCCTGTAGAGAGACTTAGGTGGATGAGAGATATGCCTTTTTTTGTAAAGTAGGAGAGGTGGGAATGGAAAAACAGCAGTGGTGTTCTCAGGCCAATCCGTTTTAGGAAGAGGGATGCATGAGGCTGAAAATCTGGAACTGGATTGCCTCCAAACTATCCTTGTCTGCACACCTTTGGAAAATCTTTGTGTACCAGGGTACATGTCACTCAATGGAAGAATGCGAAACATTAAGACTAGGCGTTACTGGGTGATGTAAACAGTTAACTCACTCAGCTGGTAACCAAAAGGTTAGAGGTTTGCATCCACCCAGAATGCCTCAGGAGAAAGGCCTGGAGATCTACTTCCAAAAAGTCAGCCCTTGAAAACCCTATGGATCACAGTTCTACTGTGACCCACATGGGGCATCATGAATCGTGATCAACTCACTAGCAACTGATTAAATGTTGTTAGCTATCTTTGAGCCACCCCCAACCCATGGCAACCCCATGCACAACAAAACACCATCCTCATGATCCATTGGGAATAAGATTGTTGTGATCCATATGGTTTTCATTGACTGATTTTTGGAAGTAGATTACCAGGCCTTTCTTCCTAGTCCATCTTAGTCTAGACTGAAAACCTGCTCATCATCATAGAAATACACAAGCCTCCACTAACAGATGGGTGGTGACTGTGCATGAGGTGCATTGGCCGGGAATTGAACCTGGATCTCCCGCATGGAAGGCAAGAATTTTACCACTGAGTTGGAAACCACTGCCTCCACGCCCCCTCCAGATTAAATATTAAGACTACAGAAGGCTCATAAATTTCCAAAATGCCTCTAGAGGGCAATACCGTTCCCCTGGAGAATCAAAGCTCTATCTGATCTGCTTCCACTCCCCACCTCATTTTTCCCTTTCTCACTTTGGTTCAGTCACAACGGATCCTTGGTGTTCTTCCAAAAGACCAACCATGCTCCCGCCTCAGACCTTAATGGTGGCTCATCAACCTGCCCAGACAACTCTTCCTCCAGATATGGGCCAGACTCTGGCTCTCACTTCATTCAGTCTCTGCTCAAATGTCCTCTTATCAGTGATCCGTTCCTTGATCCACCTCATATAAAACATCAAGACACTGGAGATACATCAATGAACAAAACAGACAAATATTTCCTTCCTCGTATTGCTCAAAGTCTAGCGGGAGGTGAAAAAAAAAGAAATATAAAACAAAACTGTATAATAGAAAGTGATAAATGCTATGGAAAAAAGTTCTAACTAAGAGGAACTGAGGTTTCCAGAAGTAGTGGTGGGGATTTTCAATTTAAATGGGATGGTCAGTTTGATCTCATTGAGAAAGTGACAACTGAGAAAACCCATGAAGAGATGGAGGAGGTGAGTCATGTGGATACTGAGACGAGTATTCTAGACAGGAAGTAGCAAATTCAAGGGCCCTGAGCTGGGATTGCACCTGGTATGTCTGAGCAGTGAAGAGGCCAGTATAGCTAGAGCAGAGTGAGCAAGGGGCAGAGTAGGAAATGAGGCAGAGAGGTTAGGAGGGTAGGGCCTTGTAAGTCATTGGAAGGACTTTGGCTTTTACTCTGAGAGAAATGGGGAGTTATTGGGAGGTTCTGAGAAAAGAGTTTCATGTAATCAAATACCAGTATGTGTTTTTGAAAGACCATTCTGGTTGTTGTTTTGAGAGTAGACTGTAGTGGGGCAAGCAAGGAAAGCAATTATAAGACACGGCAAAGATGATGGCTTGACCACCTCCAGCAGTGGAGGTTGTAAGAAGTGATCTTATTCTGTAAATAAGTATTTTAAGTAAAGCCAACAGATCTGTTGACGGATGGGATGTGGGGTGTAAGCAAAAGAAGAGAATCAAAGATGACTCCAAGGTATTTTACCTGAGCAACTGGAAGAATGAAGTTGCTGATAACAGAAATGGGGAAAATTGAAGGTAGAGCTTGTTGGGGGTGGAAGGGAGATCAGGAGGTCTGCCTGGAGCATGTTACGTTTGAGATATCCATTAGATATATCAACTGGACATGTCCAGCTGTTATTGGACATGTGTCTGGAGTTCAGGAGAGGTGGTGTCTTAGTCATCTAGTGCTGCTCTAACAGAAATACCACAAGTGGATGACTTTTAACAAAGAGAAATTTATTCTCTCACAGTCAAGTAGGCTACAAGTCTAAACTCAAGGCATCGGCTCCAGGGGAAAGCTTTCTCTCTCTGTCGGCTCTGGAGGAAGGTCCTTGTGATGCATCAATCTTCCCTCGGTCGGGGAGCATCTCAGCACAGGAACCTCAGGTCCAAAGGATGCGCTCTGCTCCCGGCACTGCTTTCTTGGTGGTATGAGGTCCCCACGTGTCTCTGCTCACTTTTCTCTTTTATATCTCAAAAGAGATTGGCTTAAGGCACTATCTAATCTTATAGACCTCATCAGTGTAACTTCCGTTAATGCATTTTATTACATCATAGTGATAGAGTTTACAACACATAAGGAAATCACATCAGATTACAAAATGGTACACAATCATACAATACTGGGAATCGTGACCCAGCCAAGTTGACAGATATTTTGGGGGGACACAATTCAATCCATGACAGATGGCAAGAACGGAGATAGGCGTTTGGGATTTTCTCTGTACAGATACTATTTATACCCATGAGACTTTAAGATCACCAAGGGAGTAAGTATAGAGAGGAGGACCAGGGACTGGGAGAGTCCTGGTGCATGCCAACAGCAAAAAGCAGAGGAAAGAAGACTAGCAAAGGAGACTGAGTAGGAATTACCAGTGAAGAAGAAGGAAAATCAAGACAGTGGGATGTCCTGGAAGCCAAGTGTTGTTTCAAGGAGAAGAGAATGGGCAACTGTGTCAAACAAGTCGATAAAGTGAGGACTGAGAACTGACCATTGGATTTTAGCAACATGGAGATCATCAGTGACCTGGATGAGAAGTTATGATAGAGTAGTGAGTGGATTTGATAGACAATTCCAAAATCCAAACCAGTTGCCATCAAATTGATTCCAACTCATGGCTACCCCATGTGTGCAGAGTAGAACTGTTGCATAGGTTTTCTTGGCTGTAATCATTACAGAAGCAGATCACCAGGCCTTTCTTCTGAGACATCTTTCAGTTATTCATCGAGTGCTTAACCGTTTTATCACCCAAAGACTCCAATAGACAACTGGAGGAGAACTGGAGACTACAAGTCTAGGCAATGCCTTCAAGACACTTTGCTATGAGGGAAAAATAGGTCAGTGACTGGAGAGGAACATGTGTGCGTGTGGGTCTGTTATCTAACACAGGAGAAATAACAGTGTGTTTGTATGAGGTGGGAGTGAGTCAGCAGAGCAGGGAGTAGGAATGGTGGTGTAGGGGAGAAGGAGCTACTGTGGGAGGGTGTTCCTTAGTGGGTGAGAGGGGATAGGATCTATGGAGCAATGAGGTCTGGCTTTAGGTAGGAGCACAGACAGTTCAGTAACAAGAGGGAAGGCAGGATATAGGTACTCCCGATTCTCTTACTCTGCTCTGTCGTTCTTGATAGCATTTATCACATCTGACAAATTATACATTCATGTGTTCATTGTTTATTGTCTCTTCCTCCACTGGAATGCAAGCTCCATGAAGGCAGGACATTGGTTTCTTACTGCTGTTTCCCGAATGTCTACAAGGGTGGCTGGCATGTAAATGTTCTACATGCATTTATTTTTTTAAATTTGCCTGAATGACTGGCTGATTGAGAAGGACATAAAATAAGCTTTGGAGATCTAATCACATCCCAGTTTCTACATTCTCAAGACCACATACCAGATCAAAGAGATTTAACTCTCTTTAGCTCATCATGATACCAGCTAATGCTCAGTTTGGGTTTATCTCATTTTCAGATCCAGGCGTGGTGGCGTGGAATAATGGTAAGGAAAGGACTGGGGAGATTTGAAGAACTACAAAAACCGAGAAAGAAAGGAAAGACTTCTCCGAAAGATAAGAAAAGGAAGAAGGCCGAAAAAGGAAAACCTCCAAAGGGAAATAAGAAATAGTTTTATAAATTGATGAATTAGGATAATGAATCCTAATGGATTAAGAAGAAGGCCAAATATCTAGGAATTAGATGACTACCACTCTAAAATTAAATCATGAGTGATGGTTATGTGTAAGATAAAAGATTCTTACCTTTACTGAAATTTTTATGGGTAAGATGATATGATTCCTGAGAATTGTTTCAAAATAATACTGGTGAGGTAAGTGAATGGGGGTACATATGTAGTAAGATTGACCATGAGTTGATAATTGTATAAACAGGTGATGGGTACAAGGGGGTTTATTATACTATTGTCTACTTTTTAAAAATTTTTATTTTGAAATAATTTTAGATCCACAGGAATTTCCAAAGAAATGTTCAGGGAAGTTCCACACACCCTTCACCTTGCCTCCCCAATGTTAACATCTTGCATAACTATAGTACAATAAAGCCAGGAAACTAGTACAACCCACTCGGCTTACTCAGATTTCATCAGTTATACATGCATTCATTTGTGTTGTGTATGTGTGTAGTTCTATACAATTTTATCACATGTAGCTTCGTGTAACCAATACCACAATCAAGATAAAAACCTATTTGATCACCACAAGGCTCCCTTGCTTTATTCCTTTGTAGTTACACCTAACTCCTAATTCCCTAACTCCTAGCAATCACTAATCTGTGTTCCATCTCTTATCCTTTTGTTATTTCAGGAATGTCACATAAATGGAATCACACAGTATGTAACCTTTTAGGATTGACTTTTTTCACTCAGTATAATTCCCTTGAGGTCCATCAGGTTGTTGTGTGTATCAATAGTCCATTCCTTTTTATTGCCGAGTAGTATTCCATTGAGGTAGCCATGAGTCGGAATGGACTCGACGGCAACTAACAACAACATTCCATTGTATCACAGTTTGTTTAACCATTTACCCACTGAAGGACACTGGGTTATTTCCATTTCGGGGCTATTATGAATAAATCTGTTATGGATATTCCCATACAGATTTTTGCATGGACACCTGTGTTCATGGATTCATGGGAATACCCAGAGAATTGAAGAACACCGACATTACCCAAATCATCTTCTTTTATGCCACTCAAAATCTCATCCTGATGACTCTTCTCTTGGAATAGTGTTGTCAATTTTACATGTCTTTCAAGCAAGGATTGCAAATGTGAATTATTATACCACAAGAAGAAAACAAAACAGAATTTGAGTAGAGTGTATCAGAATAGAATAGAAACATGTAAGCAAACATATCTACCATGCCCTGACGTTATGCTCTTGTGAAAGAAACTAAAAATGTCAAAAATCACTTAGAGGCAACACAAAAACTTTCTTTAATGAAGCTAAATAGTGTTATGTAGGAAATTCCACACAAAAGAAATGCCCAGAAGTAATGTTAACAATTGTTTGTTTGTTTTAGTAATAAAAGGTTTTGTTTTAACAAAATGTGGTTTGGGCACTAGTTATTGAAGTTCTGACCACATTTTACTAAGATTTATATGTCAGTGACTATTATTAGTATTTTTGGTTTATATCTGAGATGAAAGGCACCAGAACATAAACTGACTCATCAATAAACCACTGAAGGGTACACTCTCTGATAAAAAGGCGGTAAGTAGACCATATTATGATACATAGAATTGGAGTAAACATAATATGAAACTGTTACCCAGCTAGTGCCTTTCACATTAGAAAATTCTCACACACACATCCTTGTATTTTGAACGTTTAACACGTAGGGAAAAATGAGGTGGAAAATTCCAGGGCAAGAAAAAAATATACACGTTATCTAAACACTTTTGGCAGGGCTTCTAACCATTAAGTGAACTGAGTATACATTCAAAACAGTAAAAGTTCATTCAAAAATGTCATCCTAGGGGGTTGGCAACCAATGTCACAAAACAATATATGTATTAATTGTTTAATGAGGAACTAATTTGCTCTTTAAACCTTCATCTAAAGCACAATAAAAAAAAATTCATCCTTGGCCCATGAGATAGAGAATAAAGATATGCTCATATTAAATCATTGTATATATATATTTATATAGCTCTTATAACTGAAGTCCCATTAAATGGCCCAGAAGTTGATAGTTGATTGCACTGGGATTCATTCATATTTTTTTCCTCTTTCGGATAATGGTTTACAGTTAGTAAGACTTGGGAAATCGACTTACTGAAATCCACCATGGTCAAAATGAATGCTTCTTTTATCATCCTGGTGGAAGCATTCCACTTCTTCTTCCTGTGAAGCCGAGAGAACCCATCTTTTCATCTCTATCTCCGTGATTTCGGGAAGTTTGGTCACGGCACTTAACAAGTGTCCAAACCATTGTCCACAATCCCGAAAATTTGATGGCCGAAGGCTGATATCCAGCTCAGTTAACTCTTTGAGGAACTGCACATTCTGACAGAAGATGGTCCATCCTGTGCCACAGATGCTATCATTATAGCTCAAGTCGAGCTTCTGCAATTTGGCCAGATGACCTGTCTGTATTATTGATGCTGAAAAACAAAATCACTGTAAATGCTAAAGTACAAGAATATTTTCTACCATGGCTACTTTCTACTTCCCAATAACACCGTTATCTTCAGGATTAGTAACGACAAGGTTAGGAATGATTTGTTTTTAGCTAGCAGCTTTATTCAGGGCATCTGAAATTACTTTAGTAACCAGTTTCTTCTCTGTGCATCCCAAGTACAACTTGAAGATGGAATTTTTTTCTTTCCAAATTCCAACCCCAAAAATTTCTTTTTTTGTCAAGTTATTACTTTCTGCTCCCCTGAAGTCCCAGCTCTTCCTGCAGACATTCTCTAATTAGAAGAGAGGAGTGATGGCTCATTGGCTTTAATGGAGGACCATTTGTAAATAATCTTCTTGCTGCTTAATACTGTTTAATTGTCATTGCTCATTCATTCATTCAGTCATACTTCATTCAACAATTAACTGAGCACTTTCTATGTGCAAAACATACCTGGATAATTTCCAATTCATCTTAGAGACACAGGACAATTTTCCCTTTGAACAGCACATATCACAGTACTAACTACAATGGCACTTAATAAATATTAGTTAATGATGAAGCTAAGAAAAGAAAATGACTTCCATAAGAAGAGGTGGGAGAGATACACAAGGCAAATGGCATATGCTTCCCTTTTCAACCAAAAGCAGGAATAAATTAGAGAAATCAGATGAGTATATAGAATCTCCAAGTGGGAAGGGATCTTGGAAGTGTCTTCATTCAACCTCCAGATCAAACATCAAGAGAAGAATCCCTTCCAGAGCCTCTCTGCCAGTGACCACCCTGATTCTGCCTGAACCATCCTTTCAAAGTTGCCCACAATGTTGTGAAGCAGCTTACAGCTTTGGGCCCCCATCTACCCTTTTCAGTCAGCTGGAAAACTCCACTCTTTCCTTCTCATGCCTGCGGTGCTAGGTAACAATCCGGACGCCCTCGAATCTTTCCCCTGTAACGCTAAACACGATCTACTGTTTCAAACATTTCTCCCTCAACATGGCTTCCAGACCAAACAGAATGCTCCAACTCCATTGCTTTTATATGCCGACAGCTTAGCAGTCCTTACCCCACAACAGCCACACTGTCTCTAGGTACCCATGTCAACGTGTGTTTCTCTTCCTTTCTGTCTCATATTACTCACAATATTCTCAAGACTTAGCTAAGAGTTAAAGACAATATACATGTTTCTTCTTTTTAAAATGTTTGTATTATGGAAATTTTCAAACATATACAAAAGTAGAGAGAGTAGGAGAGTGAATCTCCATGCATCCATCATTCAGCTTCAGCAGTTATCAGCATTAGCCCAATCTTGGCTCATCTGGTCCCCTCCTCTTTACTTTTTTGTTTTTTTACTATTTTAAAGCAAATCCCAGACATCAGGTCATTTCACCTATTAATACTTCAGAATGCATCTTTAACAAATAAGAATTTTTATTTTTATAACTACCCTGCCATTATTGTACCTAATAACATTAACAGTAATTTTTTAACCAAAACCCATTGCCATCAAGTTGATTCTTACTCACAGAAATGTTATAGGACAGAGTAGAACTGCCCCATAGAGTTTCCAAGGCTGTAGTCTTTACGGAGGCAGACTGCCACTTCTTTGTCCCACAGGGCAGCTGGTGGGTTCGAACTACCAGTCTTTCAGTTGGCAGCTGAGCTCTTTAACCACTGCGCTACCAGGGCTCCTTAATTTTTTCTTTTTACAATAATTATTAATTCTGGAAGAATATGTAATAACCTGATAATGGGGAATGATTTTTATTTTTCATTTTACCTTCCTGTATTGATTGAATTTTCTAATTTTGTGAGTACCCTATTTAAGAAAATATAATAAAGTATTATATTTTATTTTTATCATATTTTTTTAAATCTAGGTAGTAGGTTTGTGGGTCATGGTAGTACTTTTGTTTGTAGTTTACTCTATGAAAAAATGTTATTTATAAAAAAATGAATATAAGCTAATAATGATTAACAAATCCTTAAAAATGATTTCTGTTAGAATAATTAAAGCAATATAAAATGACAATGGCTAAAAGTAAACATAGTAATATTTGTTACTAAGGAGCTGGCTAAAAATTGAAAGAAGGAAAAAATACCCCTGACAAAATGTAAATTTGACCTTAGAAAAAATCTGGCAGTAAAAAATTAAGAAAACATATATATAATGGCTGAAGCTATCAGTAGCAAAATTTGATGCAGATTAAAAAAAAAAAGCTAATTGAAGAAGTAAATCTTAATTATAAACTTTAAATAAAATAAATATATTTAATAGTGTCTAATTCAGGAAAAAAAAATGAAACCAAAGGCTGACCCTTTGAGAAACAGATAACACTGATAAACCTAGTATGGTAGGTAGAATTTCAGGATGGCTCCAAAATTCTCCACCCTAATCCCCAGGGCTGTGAATATAGTGGATTTTACTCCCATGATTAGGTTATGTTACATGGCATAGTTGACTTTAAGAAAAGGAGATTATTCAAGTGGGGCTAACTTAATCACACGAGTCCTTTAAAGGTAGATTTCTCTGGCTGATGGTAGGAGAAGAAGGGGGTCACAGAAGAGGAAGTTAGAAAGATTTGAAGTATGAGAAGGTCTGACACTTAACTACTGGCTTGAAGGTGAGGGGGCTACGTGTCAAGGAATATGGGTGGCCTCTAGTAGCTGAGAGCAGCCCCTGGCTGAGCGAGGAAGAAAATGGGAACCTCATTCCTATAGCTGCAAGGAACTGAATTCCGCCAACAAGAATGAACTTGAAAATGGATTTATCCCCAGAGCCTCCAGATGAGAATTCAGCCTGTGAAACCTTGATCAGAGAACCCAGACAAGCTATGCCAGACTTCTGAACTACGAACTCTGAGCTAATAAAGGGGTGTTGTTTTAGGCCACAAATTAATTTGTTATGCAGCAATGACTAGCCAAAAAAAAAAAAAAAAAAAAAAAGAGGGAGAAGATCGAAACTACCAATATCAGGAATGAGAGAACGGATATTGCTACAGACGCTAAAAGGACAATAAAGGAACAACTTTATTTCCATAAATTCAGCAACGTAGGTGAAATGGAGCCTTGAAAGATATGAACTACTAAAACTCACTCCAGAAGGAACAGATAACCTTAATAGTCCTGTATCTATTTTAAAAATTGAATTTTTAATTAAAAACTCACCCAGAGTACTCCAAGCTCAGATGGTTTCAATGGTGAATTCTGTTAAACAGTTAAAGAAATAATACCAATTCTACACAATCTTTACAGAAAATAGGAAAATAAGGAACACTTCCCAATTCATTTTATAAGATCAGCTTTACCAAAGGCAGACAAAGACATTACAAGAAAAGAAAACTGAAGACCATTGTCTCTCATGAGCATAGATGCAAATATCCTCAACAAAACAGTAGCAAATAAAATCCAGCAATATATAAAGAAGATAATACATTATGACCAAGTGGAGTTTACTCCAGGAATGTAAGGCTGATTCAACATTTGAAAATCAATTAATATTATGCACCATATTAACAAACTAAAGGAAAACAAACAGATGATCATCTCAATAGATGCAGAAAAAGAATTTGACAAAATTCATCTTCACTGTAAAAACTCTCAGCAAACTAGGATTCCTTAACTTAACAAATGGCATCTACGTAAACCCAAGAGCTAACATACTTAACTTAATGGTGAAAGACAGATTGTTTTCCCCCGAAGACTGGGAACAGGCAAGGATGTCTGCTCTTACCACATTCAGCATTGTACTGGAAATTCTAGCCAGTTAAATAAGAAATAAAAGATATACAGACTGGAAAGGAAGAAATAAAACTGTGTCTAATCACGGATGATATGATAGTCTCTATAAAAAATTCCACAGAATTTATCAGAAAAAAACTCCTAGAATTAATAGATGAGTTTAACAAGGTCATGGTGTAAAAAGTCAATATAAAAAATATCAATTGCATTTCTACATACTAGCAATGAACAATTGGGAGTCAAAAAATTTAAAAACAGTACCTTTTATAATTGTACCATAAAATGGAGTATTTAGATGTAAACCTAACATAATATGTACAGGAGCCGTATGTTAAAAAATATAAAATACCAATGTAAGAAATCAAAGAAGACCTAAATAAATAGAGAAATACACTGTGTTCATGGACCGGAAGACTCAATATTGTTAAGATGTCATTTCTCCCTGAATTGATCTATAGAGTCAATGCAATCTTAATCAAAATTCTAGTAGTATTTTTTTCTAGATATTGACAAGCTGATTCTAAAATTTATATGGAAAAGACAAGGAACTAAAATAACCAAACGATTTTGGAAAAGAAGAACAAAATTGGAAGACTCATACTACCTGATTTCAACATTCACTATAAAGCTTCAGTAAACAAGATTATATGGTATTGGTAAGAGAATAGACATAGATCAATGAAAAAGAACAGAGAGTCCAGAAATAGACCATCACAAATATGGCCAATTGATTTTTTATAAAAGTGCAAAAACAATTCAATGGAGAAGAGATAGTCTTATCAGCTAACTGTGCTTGAACAATTGGACCAGAAAAATTAAATAAACCAGAATCCTGGTGGCACAGTGGTTAAGCATTTGGCTGCTAACCAAAAGGTCAGCAGTTCGAATCCACCAGCTGCCCCTTGGAAACCCGATGGGGCAGTTCTACTCTGTCCTATAAGGTCGCTATGAGTTGGACAACTGGACAGTCATATGCAAAACATTATCCTCAACACCTCCCACCATGTACAAAAAATTAACTCAAAATTAAAACATTTAGAAGAAAATATAGGAGAATCCTTGAGAACTTGAGTTTTGCAAAGAGTTTTATGACTATGCAACACCAAAAGCTCAATCCATAAAATTAATAAATTGATAAAGAGCTCTTCATCAAAATTAAAACTTTTGCTCTTCAAAAGACACTGTTAAGAAAATAAAAAGACCAGATACAGACTTGGAGAAAATATTTGAAAATTACATAACAGATAGAGGATTTGTCTCCAGAAAATCTAAAGAATTCCTAAAATTCATCAGTAAGAAAACAAATAATCCAATTCTTAAAATTAGGCAAAAGACTGGAACAGCTGTGTCACCAGAAAATACATACAGTTGACAAATAAGCACATACAAAGATGTCATTAGTTGTTAGGCAAACGCAAACTAAAATTACAATGTGTTTGTCTCCATCTTCTAATTACAGCCCATTCCAGTCCATTCTGCCATAACATGTGTTTTGAAAATGCAAATTTGTTCCAACCAGATTGAAATACCAGAGAACAATTTGAGCATAATGCAGAGTTTGCATTTGCTTACACATGATTCGTCCACAAGGAACACAAGGTGAACACAAAATTGCACCTAGCTGAATTGAGCTAAGTGTAGGAATAAACAAAATGCGCACACACACCCCTCACGAGGACACCCACCCACAACCGGTGATAGAACTTTCCATTTGATTTCAGATAGCCCTCCTTCCACCACTTACATGAATTCAGAAGCTGCAGCCGTTGGCCTGACCCCTCGCCTCTTTAGTATTCCTCATTCCTCTCAGCCAATTTTGTATTGCTCCTCTCTGTTCTTTTTCTCTCCTTATCGCTCCCTTCTCACACTCTTTCCCCATCTCCCTTTAGTCCTCTTCCTGTGCACACAGGGTGGCAGGTGTCCCACCAGGTAGTACAGTAAGAGTGTGGATGGCCCACTTCCGCAAGCAAACTTTAGGTTCTTTTCAAGGAAAAGTGTCATGTATACTGTAGTCTTTATGTATTTCTTAACCATTTAACATGTACAAAACTACCATTTTTATTAGTTTCCTATTTCTAAAAGTGTGTTAGTAGGAAGTTTTGAGTGTTGTGCTTCTAATCATGATTTCTCATGAGCCCTGTGGTTTTTGTGTGATTTTGTACAGCATGGTAATTTTTTAGGAATGCATCACATTATAGCAGAACTGACTATATATATACAGAGAACAAAGACACAACTACCCGGAGTGACTGTTCTGGACCCTTCAGTTAAAGGGGTATTCAGTGCTTCAGAGATCTGGCAGCTGATGGGTGAATAGTGATGGGGACTGTGGGGCCAAGAGTAGATGGGAGACTGAGACAGTACTCTCCAATTCATTGTTTCCCCATGGAAATTGGACATGTAGAAGTGATTTTAGGGGATATTTGGGTAAGGTATTATATAACCTGGCATTCCACAGTACAAAATTTATTCCTTATTCAATTCTATTTCCATCTTTCTAAATGGACATATATGGAAGATTGTGCTTTAATCCCTCTCATCTTCTTTTTCTAACAAACAGGATGAACCTCTACTCAAAATCTTCAGATGGCAACAGTCTAGTAGTATCTATGAATAATGATACCTGTATTTCAGTTGTGGTGATGATCAAAATTTCCTGTTTAAATAAAAGCATTTAAGTTAAAGAGTCAATATAAAGAAAAAAATTAAGAAATAGTGCAGGTACTATGTGGGCAAAATTTGTGAAGGTAGAACATAGACAACTGAAGTTTGGTCAACACTGAGCTGGCTAGAGAGCACTGAAGACTCTCAAGTACTAGGGAGGTGTGGCGCCGAGGCTGATTGCCTGGCAGGAACCTCCTCACCACCACATCTATATCCATCTCCTTTTATGAAGCATCCTCCGCTGTCTTGTTGGGTTTGGAATTGCCCTTTTTTGTCTTAACCAGATCGTTCCTAAGCAGATGTTGAGGGGAAGGGAAGCTACACAGAGGACTTAGCCCTAGTCCTCATTGCCTCCCCACCTCCCTACCCATGAGCCTGGCAGGGCAGGCGCACTGGGCTCTGCCTTCCAAGACGGCTTTGAAAGTAGTAGATACAAACCCAACAGGGCCAGGTCCTCTGTCACCAGGGAACAGCTGCTCAGCCTCAGCACTTGAAGAGACGCCAGAAGCTTTAGTGTTCCCAGAAGAAGCTTCAGGTTGCCACCAATACACTTATTCCAAGAAAGACTGAATATTTCTAGACCAGGGAGGTAAACGGAGGCTTCAGCTAAAAGTGATAAAGAGCAATAAATAGTAATTTAGGCTTCTTGAGAGATCACAGGCCTCAATTTTGAGGAACCTAAGCTGGGGCAACGTATTAAAATAACTTGGGTTAGGAAGGTTGTAAATACTATTTTCTCCAGCCTGAAATTCAGGGCCCCCATTTATGTTGTCTATTTTTATTGGGAGGAAACATTGGAAACCTTAGAAAAGTAAAACTTAATTGGAATTCACTATCAACTGGGGTTTATTTCCTTCACTTCACATATAGGAAGGAGAAAGAGGCAAAGGGCTCAAGAGAGTTGGTCAAGATTTCCAGAGAGTGTCCTGGCTGGTACACATTCCAATGTACACATTCCATTGTACACATTCCATTGTACACATTCCAATGGACAGTCACACTGAAACTAAGGGACAAGCCAAGCCTCCCTAGGACTCAGAAACACCAGAATATATTTGTGTTTCCTTATGTGCAATTCCTAAGGCAAGGAAGGGAACTAATGTATTTTACAAAAGTTTTTAAAGAAAATTAAAAGATTTTCTGCTTAATTCTTAGCTGCCCCTAAAGTTAAAACCAGCCAGAACTTATTCCCTAGCATGATGGTTAATTACATTTCAAATTATTCTGCTTTCTTTATAAAAAGCAATGTATTCAAGAGACAAATAATATATTCTTCAACAATATCTAAGAAGAAAGTCCCTCCCACTCATATGATACAAAGATCTACCAGTAAGAAGAAATAGAACTTTAAAAATTTACTTCCAGAAGTGATGTAGAAAAATATATAATTACTTGATTTACTTCTTAATCGGAATTGAATGGTAGGTTTATGCCAGATGGTGTAATTTAGTGTAATAGCTACTTGATTGTGATTCCTTGATTGTACATCTATATTTGGAAACAGCTGTGTATTTCTCTTAAAAATATTTAAATTTCCTTTAAAATTTTTTTTCTTAAAAATATTCAATTTTTCCAAGTAGGAAACACATTTATGAAACATCATGTTGCCACCAAATTTATTTTTTGTAGAACTTTTCCTAACTGAATATTAGTCTGAACAGCAGAATGTTGGAACGTGCTTTGTGTGTGTGTGTGTGTGTGTGTGTGTGTGTGTGTGTTTACTTAACCATTTTGGGGATTATGGACCCTTATGAGAAGTTATTTACTTACTTATCTACTTATTTAACTAATATGTAGAGGCTATCTACGATTTGCTTTCGGTATGCAGTGAAGAATAAATACAATCTCTGCCCTCAAGGAGGCTGCAGTCTCGGGAAAATACAGACATTAAATAAACACACAAATAAATATATAATTATAAATTCTGATAAAGGTTATAAATAAAAAGCATAAGGGCTCCTAATTTAGATAGGGAGGGGCTGTCTTAAAAAGGGTCATTCACACTGAGACCTGAAGGATGAGTCAGAGCTACCTGCAGAAGAATGGGGAGTGGGGCATCCCAGAGATGAGGAAGGCCTCCAGGCAGGAGGCAGCTTGGTGATGCGAGGGAACAGGAAGAAGCCCACGGAGGCTGTATTCCAGCAACAAGGGAGAGAGGGGCCGAGAGGTACCAGGGCCTCATCTTCTGGGCCTTTGAGGCCACAGAAAGGAATCTGGGTTTGATCTGAGGTGCAACAGGAAGCCACTGACTATCTTCAAACTGGGCAGGGATACGATCCAATTAATTTTCAGATGAAAGTTATAGGCTTTCTCTCCATAATAATATTAACTTAAAAAAACATGATTGCCTTTGAGTTGATTCCTACTCTAACAGTTATTATTGAGCATTTACTATGTGTTCGGCACCTCTCCAAGAACTTTACATGTATTCACTCATTTAATTCTTACATCCTTATGAGTTCTGTACTGTTATCATTTTATTTTACATTTACAGAGGAGGAAACTGAAGCACAGGGTGTTAAGTACCTAGGGTCATACAAGGTCACAGAGCCAGGCCAGGATTTGAATTTAGGCAGTCTGAGTCCAGGTGCTTTGGATCCAGAAAATGCACCACACACACACGCGCGCGCACACACACACACACACACACACTGCAATCAATTTTAGGGAGCTCACAGGTCACTGCAGCACAGCTATGGAGTCTCTAAGGGTTTATGACCCTAAATCAAAAACTCCAGGTCTGAAAGGTACACATTCTGCTAGTTTTCCCCACCCAGACATGTGGACAATTAGATGAGCAGTACTGGGGGAGGGTGGGAGCAGTGAATGGCAAGGACCAAGTCTACACGAGTTGAACAAAATACTTGGGCTGGCAAGGAGGGCAAGAGTGTCCTAAATATAGTGCTTTTAGAATTTGGGGTAAATGATATGCATTCATTTTAATGAACAGAAATAAAGGACATGCTCTTTTCTGGATCATAGTACAGTTCATTTTTAAGGGAGTGTCAAGTGATATAATACTTGGGAGGGGCAGAGAGAGGACTCTGTTTTCACCATTATCCAGGAAGCACCAGAATCCAACAAATCTAGTCTAGTGTTTGTGTGCAGAAAAGGGCCAATATAGCAGGTTTGAGACTGCTCTCCTTAGCAAGGCCTGCTTGCAAAGTTGGCCCTGGCTGGTGTTCGGGAACTTGGATTTCGGGAGTGTACCCAACATCCCCTAACAGATAAGGGCAGTTTACTGTGCTTACCTGTTTGCACAAGCAACGTATGCTGAACATCTGCTTTCCGTTTGTGAGCCTGGAATTTTGCTACCTGCTAGCAGATGCTGCCTAAGTGTGGTGCGGTGAATTACTTAATATGACCCTTCTAGCCATAGTCTTTGTAACTCCCACCAAATGACTGGGTGGGGTTACACAAATGAGGTGTCTGTGGCCCACCAAGGGGATTGGATAGCTTGCTAATAATGGCCTCCACCACACCATTTTTACACTAAGTGACTGACTCCCAGTAAAAATCCTAAACTTGAAGGCTTAGGTTAGCTTCTCTGGTATACTACACTTTGCACATGTTATCACAACTCGTTGCTGGAGGAATCAAGCGTGGCCTGTGTGAGTCCACTGGGAGAAGAAGCTCCTGGAAGCTGACTCTTGGTTTCCTCTGGACTTGGCCCTGGGCACCTTTCCCTTTGCTGACTCTGCTGTGTATCCTCTCCCTGTAACACATCTGTAAGCACATCCACATGCTAAGACCTGGCGGTCCTTCCAGTGAATCATTAGCCTGGAGGTGGTACTGGGGACCACAAAAGTGCTGATTGCCTGAGTGGTACATTCAGAAAAATGCTGCAAAGTCCTTTTGCCTCAAAATCTCTCCCCTACTTGCTGACTCTACCACTCATCTATCAGTTTGTGGTGCTGTGGTGCCTTGTGTATTGCTGCGATGCTGAAATCTTTGCCACCAGCATTTCAAATACCAACAGGGACATCTATGGTGGACAGGTTACAGTAAGGCTTCCAGACTAAGACAGACTAGGAAGAAGGGCCTGGCAATCTACTTCCAAAAATTAGCCAATGAAAACCCTATGGATCGTAACAGAATATTGTTGAATACAGTGCTGGAAGATGAGCCCCCTAGGTTGGAAGGCACTCAGAATACACAGTGGCCGCAACAATGGGCTCAAGCAGACCAATGATCATGAAGGTGGCACAGGACTAGGCAATATTTTGTTCTGTTGCACTTGGCGTCGCTATGAGTTGTAGCCAACTCAATGATAGCTAACAACTAACAACTTGTTAACTACTTACTCTCTTTTACCCAAATGGGCAGAAATTTTGGCTTCAGTAGACTTTTGATCCAGGCTGAGGTACGTGTAAGACCTTCAGGCACGCCCAGATTCTAAGAGAGAATGACAAATCCCACTGGGAAATGGATGCTAGGCAGTCAGCTAGGCTCGCTCACTAGTAATTGCCTCACTTGTCTCCCCAGACCCACAATAACCCAATACACACCAGCACCTCAGCAAGACTACAAGTTACTATGGACATGAACCCTGTGACCTGTGAGGGCAGGTATTTTATGCATGAGAAAACCCAGTGTTCAGAGAGGTTATTTGTTCAAAATCACAGTTTTTTAGTAGCAGAGCCAGGATTAGAACCCAGTTCTATCTGTCTCCAAAGTCTTTGCTCTTAACTTCTAGCCTGGAGTTGTTTATAAACACTTTAAATTTTAAAATGTTAAATCTGCAAATACTAAAATCATTCATGTGGCCCTCAGAAGACCACTTTAAGAGGGCATATTTTCTGACTGGAAGACAAATTAATACTTCACAATTTTACCTATGGCTGAGCCTTGGAATGAAATTTGTAGGCAGAGAAACAAAGAGAGACCGGCCCCCTCATAGGCTGTTGTATGGTGCCTGCAGGAATGGGAATGATCTCTTACCGAGAGCTGTAAAAGTTTCAATTTCCAAAGCACAGTTGTTGATTAGTAAAGCCTTCAGCGCTGGTAAAAATCGGAGCCTGCTGAATAGGTTTTCAGAAGAAATGCCCATCTTTTTGTTGGCTGATAAATCCAGTTCTTGAAGATTCGAGAGCAAAGGAATGACTTGGGCTGTTAAAACATCACACAGTGGATATATTTTAGGCATTGTCTCACAAAAAGTTTTCTGGCTTTTTGGTTTCCTTAATTTGGCAATCGGAGCTTTCCACAGTCTGATCCCTACCCACCATTACATACCCTTATATACCATATAAACCAGCCACTCTTCCCAGTATGCAGCTATGCTTTTTTACTCCCAAGCCACTCTCCAGGCTAGAAGTTAAAAGCAAAGACTTTGGAGACAGGTAGAACTGGGTTCTAATCCTGGCTCTGCTACTAAAGGGCTGTGTGATTTTGGACAAATAACTTAACCTCTCTGAACACTGGGTTTTCTCATGCATAAAATACCTACCTCACAGGGTCGTTTGGAAGATAAAATGACTTGGTGTATGCAGAGTGCTTAGCACAGTACCTAGCATCTATGAACTCTTCAATTATTGAGCAATATTATCATTTTTCTCTTAGAATGTAAGTACCAGTAAAGCAATGACATTAACCAGTCAGAACAGGCTGTTGGCAACAGCCTTGGAGTGGGGTCCTAAGCGCCCTTGCCATGCCAAGAGTTAGCCCTGGTTCACCGTCTTCCTGCTACTTTTCCTGCCTCAAGGCCTTTGCCCTGGCTCTTCCCAAGGTGAGAAATGTAGTGTCCTCCGCTCTCTGTATGGCTGGCTTGTGATTCAAAACTCAGCTTGATGACAGTTTTCATGGGGGAGGTCTAGAGCCAAACATCTCTCCAAACTGATTCCCCAATGTTGCTTGATTCCCTAATTGAAGGTACAGCCCTCAATCTGAATGAGAGAGATGGCTTAAATTGATAATATCTCTACCTATCAGAGTCTTCTATGTTTGTTCTACATAAACGTCCAAGGACTTTAGCTGAACATAGCTGAAGGATTAGGGAGAAGTGCGTCCATTCCATCTTGGTCTGGAACTAGAAGTTTAGTCAAGGTTTTTCAAACTTTAACTTGCATAGGAATCACTTAGAGCTCTTAAATATGCAGATTCAGCTTCAGTAGGTATCGGGGGAGGCCTGAGACTCTGCATTTCTAGGAAGCTCCCAAGGGGATACCCATGCTGCTGGGCCATGGAGGATAATTTGAGTAATGAGGAAGTCGGGCAAGGGGAATAGCAAATGATTGGAAGGAGGGTGGTCAGGAAGGCCTCACTGATGAGGTGATGTTTGAACAGGGACCTGAGGAAGTGGGAGAGTGAGCTGAGCCCAGATCTGGGGGCCGAGTGTCCAGGCCAAGGGAGAGCAAGGGCAAAGTCGTCAAGGCCAGAGCGTACTGGGTGTGTCCGAGGACCAGCAAGGAGAGTACAGCTGGAGTGGAGTCAACAAGGGGGAAAGAATGCAATCAGAGAGAGAGAGAAAGAGAGAGAGAGGAAAGGGAAACCAGTTGGACTCTTGCCATCAGACTCCGGATGTATTTTGAAGGTTTATTGTAATCTCAGATGGAATAAAGCCCTTAATCTCGTAACTATGTTTGCTCTGATTGTTTCTTATGGGCAATGCATCGACACATTATATGTTAGAATTGCAGGACTATGTTTATGGTAGAAAAGTAAATGTAGTCACCTAAAGTTGTAATGTACACCCATTATACACCACCCCACTACCTTTTTTTCTGTAACTTCATTTGTATCTAAGTGGCTTCTCTCCACTTGATAGTCAGAAAGCCTCAGCACCCTTCCTCCTGGCTTTCTCTCTACAGACCTGTTTGAACAAACTTCGTGACACTAACAGATTCATGTTTAAAAAGCACCACAAATGCAAACTTTTCTCCTTCAAGTACCACATCTATTATTTACAGATGTATATAGGAGGAATTCAGATTCACTAACATTTACTATGCACTTATTCGTACCAAATACTGTAGTGGGGCATTCACAGAACGTTTATGAGTTAATCTTATGAGTTAAAAATAAGCATACATCTCAAATTCCCCAGGTTTCCAACCATTTGCCCAAGTTCCACAAGTCATCCCTTTGCTCTGCAGGAGACACTTACTCAGGGACAACACGTCGCCTACTGTCAGTGAGCACTGGTGGAGATCCAGGACTTGCAGATGCCTCAACGTGGCCAACTGAGCTGGTGAGTCTTCAAAACCTCCACCCAGATCCTTGTTGCAGGAAAGGTCTAATCTCCTTAGGTGGCACAAGTATCTAAAAGCAGCATCTACAAAGAAAGTCGAAATCCCGTTCTCACATAATGCAAGGCTGTAGGAAGGAATGTAGCAGGGAAGAGACAGATTTGTAGGAAAGGAGATTAAGTAAGTACATTGTGTTGACAAAAACCAAAAGGAGAAATAACCTTGGCCTTCCTACCACCCAGCCCTCTAAGGACCTGACAGTGACCTCAAAAGCACCCTCTCTTTATGATCGGCTTTGACTGCCAAAGGTTGTGATCTGAACCCTGCAACTGATGGAGTTTTCACAGAATTTTAGACCTATTCGAGCTACCAGTGAGAAGGCGATTAGACTCTGTAAACTGAAGGGAAAAACACAGTTTCATTTTATACTCTCCATTAATGTGGATACTCTGTGTAGAGGAATAAGTTTCGTTTTATTTTTAAAAAATTGTGTCTGGTAAATCTGTATGTAACAAAACATTTGCCATTTCAACATTCTTCACAAGTACAATTCAGTGACATTAATTGTGTTCATCATGTTGTGTGACTGTCACCATTAACCACCTCCACATTTTTCCATCATCCTTAACAGAAGCAATGGGTCCCCCGGGGAATGAGTTTTAACTATAGATGCCACTGAAGTCATTTTTGTTATCAGTACCAATTCCTTCCACTACAGAGCAAAAAACAATGCAGGGATTTTTCCAAGGTAAGAATAAAATTGGTAGCTTTAGTAGCAATTTTGGTACTAGTAGAAACTTATTTTGCCCCATTGCCTATCTCAAGCGTAAAATATCCTGGCCCTTTCAGAGTCAGCCACTTAAAAATTATATTTGTAATGATGAAAGTATATGGTCACTGTAAAAGATTTAGAAACTAAATAAAACATAAAGAAGTGTTAAATTACCTATAATCTTATTCCTCCTCATAACCACTGTTTATATTTTGTTATATTTTCTAACAGTTTTAATAACGTATATCAAGTCCAGTCATTGTTAACTCACCCAATATTTTGACACTGTCTTGTGATAATCCGCATGACTGTAATTTCAATACTTTCAGATTTGAGGTATTTTTTAATCCCTGAGCAATACTGTTTAGACTGCCACTGATGTTTCTATTAATGGAAAGATCAAGTACTTCAAGATTTTGCAGCATAGGTAGCAACTGACCTGGAGAAAAGGAAAACCAGATGTAAAGAAAAACACTGAAATAATGCAGGGTGTGAAAGTCGGGGCAGGAAGGGGAGTCTGGAGTACAGTTTCGTGTCGCCTGGGGTCATAGTAAGGTCCCAAGGTGGTACAACAGTTGCTCTCCGCCGCTAACCTAAAGGTTGACAGTTTGAACCCACCCAGTGTCTTCACATTTTTGGAAGAGCGAAATCTACTTACCCATAAACATCGCATCTTCTGATGTGAGAGCACAATCCACAAGTTCCAGGGTTTGTATCTTGCTCCCTTCTCGGAGCGCCTGGAGGATCAGAGGTAGGTTTCCTCCCACTTTGCTGTTCCAGGACAAATTTAGCTCTTCAAGTTCAGGTATCACTTTAAGTGCTTCTCCTGTTACAAAATGGTGGGGAGATCGGCAAAGCAGGGAATTCATTTCAAAATCAGTACAACCGTTATTCATGGAGTATTGAAGCTGGGCCAGATACCGTGTTAGTTGCCAAGAAATGTAGAGAAGAAAAGGACCCAGTTGCTGCCCACTCACAGCAGGTTGAGCATGTATATTTACAGGCACGGCAATTCTAGTCCCTCCCAAATCCTGAAGCCAAGCTTACAAGCTAAAAATTGTTATTTAAAAACAACAACACTATTAATCTACTATTGGTAGGGTAGTTTTACTGGGTTGTTTTTGTAGTAGTAAATATTTGTACAGTTCATATACTTTCTCTCATCCACTATCACTGGGACTAGCATTTCTGAGAAGTTTAATGTGGTACACAGAGTAATTGCCCCCCACCCTAAGATGTCCACTTCCTAATCCCTGAAACCTGTGAATATGTTACCTTACAGGGCAAAAGGGACTTTGCAGATGTGACTAAATTAAGGGCTGTTATGGACAGAATTGTGGTCCCCAAAAATATGTGCTGTAAATCCTAACCCCTATTCCTGTGGGAGGAGCCCTGGTGGTGCAATGGTGAAAGCTAACTGAAAGGTCGGTGGTTCAAACCCATCAGCTGCTCCTTGGGAGAAAGATGGAAGTCTGCTTCCAGTAAGGTTACAGTTTTGGAAACCCTATGGGGAAGTTCTACTCTGTGCTATAGGATCATTATGAGCGGGAATCGACTCGACTGCAATGGGTTTGGGTTTTGGATACCTGTGGTTATAATTCCACTTGAGAATGGATTTTTTTGTTATGTTAATGTGGTAGCATTAGTGTAGGACATGTTTTAAATCAATCTCTTTTGAGATATAAAACAGCAGAGTGGACAGAGAGAGAGCCTTCCCCTAGAGCCAGTGCCCTGAATTCAGACTTCCAGCCTCCCAAACTGTGAGAAAATAAATGTCTATTTGTTAAAGCCACCCACTTGTAGTATTTCTGTTACAGTAGTACTAGATAACTAAGACTAGATAACCTTGAGATCTGGAGATTATCCTGAATTATCCACAAGGGTCCATATAAGAGGGAGGCAGCAGATCGGAGGCAGAGATGTGATGACTGAAGCAACAGTCAGAGAGAGATTTGAAGATGCTACGCTGTGGGTTTTGAAGAGGAGAAAGGGACCAAAGGCCAAGGAATGCGGGCAGCCTCTAGAAGCTGGAAAAGGCGAAGAAAGAGAGTCTCCTCTAGAGCCTCCCGAAGGAACGCAACCTGGCCAACTCTTAGCTTTAGGACTTCTAAGGTAATACATTTGTGCAGTTGTAAGCCACTCGATGGTAATTTGTCGCAGCAGCCACAGGAGACGAATGCACTTGGCTGCCTTGCCCAGAAGCGAGGCAAAGCACGTAACTGGCCACCACAGGGGCAAAGCTCATTTTAACATCAAGCGCATCACAGGCAACTGAACTGACCACTACAGAGAGGACCTAAAATAGAACACCAGACACTCTCAGTTTATGGCAGCCATGCAGCTGGGGGATGAGGATGGGGCAGTGAGAGTGGTGGAGCTTGACATTTCTGAGACAACCGCGCACAGCAAAGCATCCAAGGGCTGCAGCGGCCAGGCTGGGACAGTAGGGGGAGCGACCTAAGAGATCAGCCTTAGAATGGTCTTCATTGCCTTAGGCGAGAGCAGAGTAGGGAACCACACAGATGGAAAATGGGCCTCCTCAGTATGCAGAGCCAGTCTTAACCACAAACAACTTAGGGGGCTGGAAAATCCCTAGTGTCTGGATACCTCTTTTTCACTGTCTGCCACTGGGCTTGAACTTCTACCATTGGCTATTAATTCTATGGATTAAGGTTTTGGCAGTCCAGAAACCCCTTGGGAAAATGCATGTTCTCCAGAAGTTATAACTGCTTACGTCAGGGGTGAACAGGTGTCATCTTGTGTGCCATTGCCAGTCAACTGGGGACGGCTTTCTATAGCTCCGGGTGTCCTCTGGGATCAGGGAGAAAGAGTGCATGATTAATTATCTATGTCTGCAGTACACATAGTGCTAGAGAGGGCCATGCACTTTTGCCATCCTGCATTATGCAATTTTAATGGGTATAATAATTTTGAAATGCCTCCTGATTTATGTTCTCCTATCGGTAAATGACTTTTTTTCCCTAGACCCCATCTCTCCTTAAGACTAAGCTAGGACAGAGTACGGATGAAAAGTAAGTCCTTCCCAGTGGAAGAGGATGCGGCGGGCTTTCCAGAGAGGAAGACGACTGGGGAGAGCGAGGAGGATGCAAAACATCAAGACAAGGACACAGACTCCCTCCCCGACTCTTTCCCGGGCCAGATAAGTCTGGAGTAGGTCCCAGGGCAGAAGTAACCATTTTCAGGCCTCCTAAGGGTGAAGAATCATGAAAGAGATGAGGTCAATGTTAGAAAATAAAGACACTACGTTTTCTGTTCACGTTTAAGTAATGGTATGTTAAGTTTGTAACTCTCCTACACAATGTTGTTGTTGTTGGGTGCCATAGACTCACAGTGAGAGTAGAACGGCCCCATAGGGTTTTCCTGGCTGTAATCTTTACAGAAGCAGATCGCTAGGTCTTTCTCCCACAGAGACACTGGATGAGTTCAAACCTCCAACCTTTTAGTTAACAGCCAAGCAAGCGTTTAACCATTTGTGCCACCAATAACCAACTGCTAACCTTTTGTGGGGCTAAATTGATCATGTAAACCCGCAGAAAGGTAATTTTGGATGAGGGAAGAGGCTAAGAAGGAACTATCAATTAAGCAGCTAATATATGCCAGTACTTTACGCACACTATACTATTTAATACTCACAATTTTTTGAGGGAGATGTTACCCCCTTTTCAGAGACAAAACTGCTGGGGCTCAGAAAAATTAAAAATAATTTGTTCATGCTCACAAAGCTAGTTAGAGGTGCAACTTGGATTAGAACTAGGATCTGGTAAGCTCCAACGTGTATAATGTTTCTACTCGGCTATAGAAAGGGTGCACTAGGGGACATCAGCTGGCCCCCATTATCTAGGAAGGAAGTGACAAGACGATACAACAGGGCAGCAAAGCCAAACTCCACGTCCTTTGCAATTTTATTAACTGTCGCCCCTGGCTCAGAGACACTCCAACGGGGAAACCACCAACTCTGCTCTCCTGATCTCTTTCTCTCTTTCTGTCTCACACGTACACACACACACACACACACACACACACACACACACACAGAGCTGGCCAGACTGAAAAAAGACATTATTAACGTTGTCTAATAAACAAGGAAACATTTTAGTAAAGCACTTGAGTAAGTAGCATGGTTTTGATTTTCTATAAAGTATATTGTACGTTCAGTAAATATATCTACATATATACGCATATAAAAACCACCAGTTGCTATCCAGTCGATTCCAACACAGGGCAACCCCACATGTGTCAGAGTACAACTGTGCTCCACAGGGTTTTCAATGGCTGATTTTTTGGAAGTAGATTGCCGGGCTTTTCTTCCAAGGTGCCTCTGGGTAGACTCAGACCGCCAACCTTTCAGTTAGCGGCCGAGTGCATTAACCATTTGCACCACCCAGGGACTCCACGTTCAGTGTATAAACCATCTTGAGATTCTAGTCAACCTGTTGCTTTTAACTGAAAATTTTTGTTGTGATCGATCTTTTTGAAAAGGGGGTAGAAAAACAGAAAAGAGAAATTGTATTTGGGGATTGGAAAAGAATTATTATGTACTCCAACGTCTATTTTACAGAGGAAGTAACTGAGACCCAGAGCAGCAAATCTGGCGATGACATCCATTTTAAGCTCCAGGAGAGCGGATACCTGGTCAGCCTTGTTCCCCTCTCTATCCACAGAGCTTAGCACAATATCAGGCACAGTGTTACATAGCTATTTAGAAGTTATACAAGTGCTTCACACGATTTTTACCCATTGCTGTTAAGTCAATTCCGACTCATAGTGACCCTACAGGACAGAGTAGAACTGCCCCATAGGGCTTCCAAGGCTGTAATCTTTACAGAAGCAGACTGCCACAGCTTTTGCCCATGAAGTGGCTGGTGAGGTCTAACCACCGACCTTTCAGTTAGCAGCCGAGCGCATAACTACTGTACCACCAGGGCTCCTTGCTTCACACAGTACTATATCATACATCATGCTCTTGTCCATGATCACCTTTGGGGGTAGTGACATGAACAGCCTGCCCTTGACCTTGAGAGTTTAGGTTGCAAAGATGCTTGGAGGTGCAAAAATGTCTTTTAAAGGCAGCATTCATCATACCCAAGGCTCCAACATCATCAGTGGTGAGTCTGCAACTACTCAGCCTCAGGATTTTTAACTTGCTGACAAGATGCATTTGCTGGGTGATTGAGTGGAGGGTTCCGCCTATGAAATCGTTCCAGGAAATATCCAGTTCTTCCAAGTCTGGGATAAAAGGAAGTGAGGCAACTAGAAGTGAACAGAAAAGAGCACAGATTTGTACATGTAATTTGTGATAAGGAATCAGTGCCTATGTGCACAAAATACAGCTTTCAACTGTAAGAGCAGGGAGAGTATGTTGTCTTTCAGTAAAGCTGGAACCTCTCAGCGGTGCAATTGGCAGAATTGTGACATTTACATTTCTTATTTCCGGGGATATTTTATATTTCTGCCAAATAATTACACTCTGAAAACTCAGTGGTGTCCCCATAAGATTCCACCGCACCTTCTTTATTGTAACTGAACCCAATAACCCACCATTGAGTTGACTCTGACTTATAGTGACCCTTATAGGACAGACTAGAACTGCCCCATAGGGTTTCCAAGGCTATAAATCTTAACAGAAGCAGATTGCCACATCTTTCTCCTGTGGAGCAGCTGTGAGTTCTAACCACCAACCTTTTGGTTAGCAGACAAGCGCTTTAACCACTGTGCCACCAGGTTTCCTTGTGAACCCAGTAACAGTAATGGTATTTCTACTACTACTACTGCTGCTTTGACTGCTACTCCCACTGTGACAGTAATGTGTACTTTACTGTCCTTTTACTTTGCAAAATCCTCCCAACATTTTCTACCTGTCATCTTCAAGGGTCCTCGGGCTGAAGGGCCTGGGGAATGCTCTGCTGGCCAGGGCTGCTGAGATTGATGCTGCCTGTTACTGCTCCCTTTTTTTCCCCCCTTATCTTGATTACCTGGACATCCTCACCTTAAAAAGCTTTCATTATATTCAAATGAATCAACTCAACATGTTCAGGTTTAAACCTGCACAAAGCCTGACTGGGACTTTCTCTGAGTCTCAGCCGCTGCTCACTAAAAATGAAGTTACTGTCTGTGGAAAATATTCAAAGGACATCTTTATCTCCTGAAAAAAAGCTCTTGAGAGTGGAAACATCAAAGGAGAAAGGATCAAGTTCAGGTGACTTTGCTAGCTTGTTTGCTTTTAAATATCTGCTTTGAAAGTTAAAATGACGGCAGCAGTCACAAGCAGCATGGTGAGCTTCTACAGTTACAGGCACAGCAATTCCAGACCTTCCAAAGTTATACATCATGCTTACAAGCAAGAAATTGTTTTCTTTTAACTAGCGTTCAAAGCACTTTAGGAGTTTCATCTTGTTCACCATGACCCTAGCTTTGTGAGGTATAAAAGTCTGTTGAATACATTGACCAGTTGCTGTCTAGTCAACTCCAACTCATAGTGACCCCATGTGTGCTGGATTAGAACTGTGATCTATAAGGTTTTCAATGGCTGGTTTTTTCGGAGGTAGATCGCCAGGCCTTTCTTCTGAGGCACCTCCAGGTGAATTCAACTCTCCAACCTTTCAGTTGGCAGCCAAACTTGTTAGCCATTCGTACCACTCAGGACTCCACTGAATACATTAGGAAAGCCATACAAAACAAAACAAAAGGTACTTGTTTTCTAACACTAAGCAATGAGTTAGTGGCTCAACTGTGTTCTGTACCTTTGACTCTCAATATTTTTCAATTCATAAAGGAAATCAAGCCTCCTTCCTAATTGCAATCCCACTAAGAAAACGCAACAGCCATACACAAAATATAGTTCCGTGGTCAGACCTTAGCTTGCATCAGAATCCCCTGTGGGGCTTGTTAAAACACAGATTCCTGAGGCCCACTGTGAGAGACTCTGATTCAGTAGGGTTTGGAGCAGACTCAAGGGCCTTCATTTTCACAAGCTCCGCAAGTGATTCGGACACACAGGCATTTGAGAACTGCAGGCATGGTTAGAGTTCCCTCTGAAGGGATGAATCTGCAAATATAATGGCATGAGTTTTCCTGAAGAGTTAAGGATCCCTCACTCAAAATGCAGTTTGTTTGATACCTCTCTGTTGGCAGACACACCTAAGTTGATTAAAGCAGGGCTTCAAACCAGTTATTCCTGGTTCAGTCATGGCTGAGAAAGCGAAACCAGAACAGACCCACATTTTTAAAATTTGGGTGAACCAGAACAGGAAAAATTACTGGTCAAAGCCCTGCTAGAAACTTCGTCTCCCCCTCAGAAAACAAGAGCAGTGTATGCACTGCATAGCAACCAAATCTCTTGCCCCTTGAATTTTGAGCAGAGTCAGAAACAGCGGGGCCAGCTCAAAGATGGCGGCCAACCATGCCGCTTTGAATGTGTGTCGCTCTCCACAGTCCTGCCCAGGATCCAATCTCACATATCAGCCTCCTGAAACAACTCACTACGCCTCTTCCGAGTCTCCCATTCCAGGGCTTCAACTCGTAATGTTTGCCATTCCGGTTATCGCTCCATATCACCCAAATTGTAACAATTTGGGTCTGTTCCGGTTTCTGCTTCGTTGGCCATGATTGAACCAGTTTGAACCAGTTTGAAGCCCTGCATTAAAGGCTTGACTTAAAATCACTAGAGAAAAGAAAAAGGTGGTGGTGGTGGTGGTGGTGGTGACGTAAAGAGAGGTCTTCACAACCAAACTCCTGTTTAGGTGAAACAAATGGTCGTTATACTTTTGTGTAAAAAAGGTGTATACAATAATTGCTGGTAGTTACACTTTTCCTTCCACAAAGACTTTAAAATTCTCCACAGAGCTCAGTTTTATGGATGAGTTTCATGAGTTTGTTTCAAACAGATAGATGTTTTTCAGGGAGCAAGACGCAATCAGTAGGTGGATAAAATGGCTCAGGAAAAACAAAAAAACAAACGAGTCTTCCTTCTGGACTCAGGTCAAATTTTTGAAGCTTGAGGAAGGATCAATTAACTTTAAAAAAAAAAAAAAGTGCAGCTGCTATTCCTGTGAGTATCTGGACCATCCATCAACCTTGGAGTTACAAGCTGGGTAACCGAAAGTGTTTTGCTTGCTCATCTCCACCTACCGCGACCACCACCAGCAGCAGCTGCTATTGAGTCAACTACAACTCAGAGCGACCCCATGTTTGTCATAGTAGAACTATGCTCCACAAGGTTTTTAATGGCTGATTTTTTGTAAGTAGGTTACCAGGCCTTTCTTCCAAGGTACTTTGAGTTCCTGGGTGAACTCAAACCTCCAACTTTTGGGTTAGCAACCAGGTGCGTTAACCATTTGCACCACCCAGGGATTCCCATCTCCACTTAAAGGGCCTGTCTTCCTCTGTGCAAGGTCATCTACATACAGACCCAGTTCCTTCATGTCTGCTGTTCTTAATCCACAGTTACTCAGGTTCAGACACTTGTTGACAGCCTTTTTGTGCAGATTCTGCAGGAGCTGCTCATTTTTCTCTTCCCTGGATTCCTCTTCCATTTCTGAGCTGAGAGGCTGAGATTTAGCTGTATCATAAAAATAAGGAAGAATTTGCTGTTAATGACAGATAGTATTAAAGATCCATAATAACTACAATAAGACAGGCAAAAGGACTGAGAACCACCTTGAGTGGGTCTCCTGTGAAACCTCAACTCAGAAACGGAGGCACTTACCAGGGGGCAAAACTTAACCACTGTTCCTGCCACCGGGTGCTCAGACACTGACAGCTTCTGGCTTCCGGTGACCTTGTTCTTACGAAGGAGCCTAAAGAACCAGAACTAAGTAGCTTTTCTTTCATGGCCTGACCTGGGCTTCTCCATATGAAGATGAGCAAGAGGGACATCTGTTACCACAGCTGTTAAGACTCCTGCTGCTTTACATTCGTGCAGATATATTTGATGAACATAACATCAAATTGTTGTGTCGGGGGAGAGCACAGGTATTTGTCCCCTAAAACCAAATAGGTGCAGAAAGGGAAAGGATGAAATCACAGTGGATGAGCTTCAGGTGGCTATTGAGGGAGATGCTTGCCGCTCAGTTCCTAGACCATTCAGTTGGCAAGCACAAATCCAGAGAGTGGTGCCTGGGGGGGGAGATTTTTTATTTTCCAAACTCCTGCAGGAGAGTACATTCAAAAAGCCTCATTTGTCCTTGTTATCAGGGACCTCTTATGTGGCACCTTCACCAACTGCCTGTGTAATAACACTATACTAACATGGTATCACCATCATAACAGAAAGCTATAATTTTATTGAGCCTCTACTATGCACCAGTCCTTCTCCTACTGCATGTGCCAGCATTTAAGACATGTATACATCATACTTCTGCACAGAAAAATTTTGAAAAATGAAATGTTAAGTACATTTCATATGCACGTACTGACAGTGATGTTAAAGTGGTTTTTCAAGTGAAAATGTACAATTTTAAATACGTAGAAAGAGCATCTAGGAATTCAGTAGGAAATCATAATATGCAGTAATATTCTACTAACCCTCACAAAAAGGTATAAAACCACATAACTGAAAACAAATAATTGGTACCGGTGAAAATTAAAAGATAATAGAATTGCAGTAGTAGTAAACTTAGACTAAAATATTAGCAAAATAATAAAAACACCACCTCTCAGCTTTTGGCTTGCTACTCTTTTAAGTAAACCACCTGTAGGGTGCCCCGCTTTGCAGGGATGTTTGACGTTGCCACATTTCACCAGTAGGTGGCAGCATCATCCGTCATTTTACTTCTTCACAATGGCCTGTATTTATGATGGCACATAGGATACAGGTATTTTGTTTTGGATAGGGTTGCCAGGTTTAGCCAAAAAACAGGGCCCACCCACCCTGTCCAGTTGATTCCAACTCATAGCAAACCTGTAGGACAGAGTAGAACTGCCTCATAGGGTTTCCAAGGCTGTAATTTTTATGGATGCTACATTTTTCTCCTGTTCAGACCAACTGGTGGATCCGAACTGCCAACCTTACGGGTTAGCAGCTGAGGCACTTAACCACTGTGCCACCAAGGTTCTTTAAAAAACAGGGCACTCAGTTAAATTTAAATTTCAGATAAACAGCAAATAATTTTTTAGTAAAAGTGAGTTCCAAATATTGCATGTATTTTACCTGGCAACTCTAATTTTGGGTGGGGCAAAAGGGAGTTCTGCGTGCTGGAGAGAGAGGGACTGCTTTTTACTAGCCAGTGAGTACAGGACATTTGGTCTGAATTTAATGCAAGAAGTCACAAGTACCTCGATTTCATAGATTTGGAACTGAGACTCAGGAAGTTTATCAGTTGATAAGAAACAGAGTCAGAATTTGAACTCAGAACAGTCTGGCTCCAAAGCATATTATGTGTGTTTGTATGTTTTTAATTTTTTCAATTTTCTTTGCATGACATCTTATTGCTGTCTCTTTTGTTTTTTAACTTTTTATCTCCACAGGTTTAACCTAGAATTATCAAGTTCCGGCCCCACCAAAACCTCTATTTCTTCTGTTTTCTCCTGACACCACTGTCCTGTCTGTCATTTCCTTTACTGCTAAATGTTTGAAAGAGTAGTTTATACTTGCTGGCCCCAATTCCTCACCACATATTACTGATTAACCCTTTCCATTCCTGTTGCCACGCTCACTACCCAAGTAAATTGTTTTCTTAAAGTTCACCAGCAATGACCTACCAATGGGCAGACTCAAAAATGTTTTTTCGGTCCAGATCCTTCCTGAGAGCTCTGTAATGTTTGATACCACTGACAAGTCTGAGGCAGCACAGTCAGAAGACCCGGCTCAAGTTGTGGATCTACCAGGCAAGCAAATCACTCAACTTCTGTGAGTCTTGGTTTACTCATCTATAAAGTGAAGACTATCATTTCTGCCCAGTTCATGTCTCAGAAGTGTTATGAATAAAATTCACTCCCGGGTAGATCTACAGTAGGTCCCTGCATGACGCAAATGATTTGCGCTCGACCCACTGTTAACTTAAAAGTTGGGGTTCAAACTCACCCATTGGTACCGTGGAAGAAAAGGCCTGGTGATCTGCTTCCATTAAGATTACAGCCAAGAAAACCCTATGGAGCAGTTCTACTCTGTAACACATGGGGTTGCCATGAGTCAGAATTGACTCAACAGCAACTAACAACCATAACAAGTCTACAGTGCCTTCTACATTGCAGATACATGGCAAATATTTGTTGAATGAACAAATGATTGAATGGATGGATGGATGGATGAATGAATATTGGCTTTAGAGTTCCTCAATTACCAAAATAAATCAGTGTGGTAAATCTTTATTAAAACACTAGCTATAAATATGAGTACTAACTTATGAGACACTTGACATCTCCTCATAGACCTGTGCATTTCAACCTTTTATTATTATAATTATTAGTATTCTATGAAACCCTTTCTTCAAAGGATAGCTTACTTCATGGCTTAAACATAGAACAGAGGGGACAGAGCTGCTACAGTTTGGCTGGGGTAGAAGGGGTGGCACTCAGTGGGGAGGCAGTAGTGTGCACTCACAGGAGCAGGTCTGTGGAGTAATTCAGGGCCTTTTCTGGCGGCTGTGCATCTAAGCCAAGGTCTGTACCCTCCAGGTGATTCTGTGAGTTGTGCAGTATCTTTTCTCATTACATTCCTTTCCAGCTTGAAGCAGTCAGTGTTCCTTTCTGTTGCTTACAACCAAGAATCCTGATACTTTTGTAAAACATTGTTATACGCTTGGAACATTAGTTGTCGCAGCAGCAGCGAATGTCGGGATGGCGGAGACAGTCACCAAACACAACTCTTACAGAGAAGTGGGGCCAGGAGGGTCACTCTGAGGAGTCGACCCTCGGCTTCAGTCCCAGGAGTTTATTTATAGTCAATACAGCAAGCAATGAAGCAAATAACAGAACAATGGGCTTTGGGTGAGTAACAATAAGTTTCGGGCAAGGGAGAAG